GGTCAATGACATGAGACAAAGTATATGTGAACTGCTGTATGAAAAGTGAATTTACTCTGTAAATCTTCACCCAAATCCTAAAAAAAAAAAAAAAATAGGCCAAGAAATGGAAACAATTAGTCCAAGGGACTGGTAGACCATGTGATCCTCAGCCTATATGACCATGAGACGAGAAGAACTAGATGGTGCCTGGCTGCTACTGTCAGCCTCTCAGGCGGGGATTGGTGCAGGAGATTCTGGATAGAGCGGGGGAACAACGTGGAACAAAACTCAAAATCCTTAAAAAAAAAAAAAAAAAACACCAGGTTTGCTGGTCTAACAGAGCCTGGTGAGACCCCTGACACTATGATCCCTAGTTACCCTTCAGGCCTGGAATTGAACTCACTCCTGTGGCTTCCAGCCAAATAATAGGTATGGGCTGGACATTGACATCAGGTAGATACACTACTTGGAGGGATCAATCATGGGAGAACAGAAGGGCAGTGTTTGCACAGGGAGACAGCTCCAGGTGGGGTGGGAGTGCCTGGGAGGGAGGGCCACAGGGAGAGGTAACTACAGGGAGGGAGTGGGAAGAGAGCTGTTACATTGTGGGGACTTGCAGTCAATGTCGTGAGACAGAGTGAGTATGAACTGTTGTGTGGAGAACGAATTTGTAAACTATCACCCAAATCACAATAAAAACTGAAAAAAAAAAAAAAAAAGCCAAGGAAAACGGGGAGGGAAAGGAAGCTCAAAGCTCCAGTGAGAAATACAGTGTATGGACGGCTTTATCAAAGGGAGACTCAACGCAACAGTGAGTCATCTGTGGAAAGAGGGAGCAGCGTTCTACTATTGGCACAAAGTGTGGAGGGTGTCTGTGAAACCGTGTGACGCACTTAGAGGAAAGGCAAGTCTAAGCCTCTTTTTCAAATGACAAGAAAACCCAACTAATGAGGTGATCTTCAGTCGATGTAAGAAGCCCAGTGTAACTGGGAACCTGAAGAAGCAGGGAGTCGAGGCGTCTGTGGGAGCTGAGGACCACGTTCCTGAGGAAGATGTGGAGACAAGCCCTGCAGGGCTCCTGCTCTCCGACTGCTCAGGAGACACCCGACAGGTCTAGAAGAAGGGGCTGTCGGGACTTCAGTGCAGAGCCGTGGAAGCCAAGTGCCGGGGAGGGAGAGCAGCCAAAAGGGTCTTTCAAACAAACCATGACGGACTGGTGGGGACCGTGGCCAGGCCTGGGGGGCTCTTGAAGAGCTCTTCTGGGGCCGAATGAGAACTATGGGTTAGTGAACAGTTATTAATGATTGTGAAGTTAACTGGAACAAAAGTACCAGTTGTACCCAGGTATTTGTATTTCTTTATATGGTATCCAGACTTAAAATGTTTATCATTAATAATCGGGTAAGTTAAACAATACTTACGCTGTTATTTTAATAAAGCACATTTTCATTGAAATGACACGAGGCTGAGGCCCTGTATTGCCTCCAGTCTTTATGCTTGGGGTATGGCCTCAAGGCTCCCACCACCACATCCAGAGCCCTGCAGTCTTGACACCTTTGAGGGAAAAAGCCAGGCCTTGCCAAACCAGGTTGGAAATTAGCCACCTTCATCGCGAATGGGTCTTGATGCAACAGATCCTCAAAAGTGGTTCAGCCTGGACTTGGGAATGCTGTGCCACTTTTAGTCTGTCCTTTGCTTGAGATGGGGGCGAGTGTCTCCCAGGAGAAGCCCACACCTTGAGGAAGGCTAACCAAGAAGAGCAGAGCCGTCCTCCCCATTCTCTGTGGCCTGACCCCACCTGAGGCTTAACACAGCAGGGCCTCACCATCTAACCTCTCCTGCCTTTGGGCCCAGAGTGGTGAGTAACTTGTCCAGGGTCACACAGCTAGTAATGCAGAGGCTGGGCCGACAGCCCATTCAGTCCAGAGAACAGAGGCTGTGGTGTGCAGACATGGGCTCAGTGTTGTGGCTGAAAAGGACTTTCAGTGTGACGGAGCCAGGACTCTGTGTCTCTGGCTCAAAGACACCCCACGAGTTGCCGGGGCTCCGTGCTGAGCAAGTCAAGAGGAGGTGAGAAAGTCAAACAGACCTTCAATGCTGCCTCCCAGGGGCCTCAAAGTGAGGAAGTCCCAAGAGACTGTGTATCCAGATTGGGGTTTTACAGGACAAAACAGAGACGCAGCCTGGCAGATTCTTGTTCTTCCAATGGGTGATCTAGTAGCAACCACTCCGCCCGGGAAGGAAAGTGTGTCCCAGGGCGAGTTACTGTCCCAAAGCCCTTGGCTCCGTGTCCAGCCCGACCCCTTCTCGAAACCTGCCTGCTGCTTCCTCTCCCTGCCTTCACCACGCAGTTCCCTGACGGCAGGGCTCATACTCCTCGGGCCTGCACTGCCCACACTCTCACCTTTTGCTGCCTCCTGGCTTACCTCGGCCCTGGCCGTGCTGCAAAATCTGCTCCAAGGGCTCCAGTGTCAGTTTCTAGCTAAATCCCAAGGCCTGGCCTTGACCTGCATGTGCCTGGTAGCCCCAGAGGTCAGCCTGGCTTGGGTCTGAACAGACCAGGGAGCTCCCTTCTCTGCCCTGGCTCATGGTGACATCTGTCCTCACGATGGTTTCTGTCCACTGTCAGCCTCACATGTTTGCTCTAGCATCCTAGGCTGAAAGTATGTGCTAGGACCCCTGCACTTGGGAGTTGGCGAGCGCCTTGAAGGCCATCTGGCCCATTTAGACTTATGTTAGAGGAAGAATTCTTTCTAACTCTTCACAAGAGCCCAATATTCTTATCTCCATTTTCTAGAGGAGAGGAAGGAAGGAAGGGCATTTTCCCCTGGTCACATCATTGTGAGTGGTCACTAGGGCCAGTCCCCACACACATTCCTGGCTTTGCCATCTGGGTACTTCTGGTCCCCTCATGGTTGAGTAGGGCCGTGGGACTGGTTCTGGCTAGGGAAGCTGGGAGCAGAGATGATGGGGACCTCCTCTGCTGTGGAGCCTGAGGCAGTCCACATGCCGCTGTCCCACCAGCCTGGGTTCTCGAGGAGACAAAGCCCGAGCCCCTCATCAGCCTGTGCAGACAGACATGCAGCAGGAGCAAGAAATCACACGGGGGACCCTGTTGTCACGACTGGGGTGGTGCCGACTGACGCCTGTGTCCTGCCCCGAGAGCTAGGCTTCCTCTCACAGAAGATGAGCGTGACCGGCAGGTGCTCCAAGCAGATGGAAGCAGACCCGCTCAGGTAGAGCAGAGGCAGGCAGGGCCGGGGTGGCCCAAGCACTCTCTGGGACAGCTGCCATCATGAGGTCACCCGCTTACAACTCACAAAGCACCGGAAGGCATGATCTCCTCCAATGGCAGCCAGGCATCTGGGCTGCCAGACCACAGCTCTTTCCAGCACACCTGGAGTGTCAGGACCAAAGATCTCAAAATCTGAGGAAATAAGACCAGGCCAGGCTGGGCTGTGGCTCTCCCCCGGCAGCCATCTCTCTCCAGAAGGGGTTCCAGTTGTGATTTCTTGAGGACAGAGGTGTGCAGTATCTGCGAAATCCTCAGGAGGGCCCTGTAGGCCCTACCACTAGGCCATGTTCTCCTTTTTCTGAAGTGTGAAATCAGTGGCACCCCGGGCCTTGGAAACTGCCCTCCCCACCAACCTCAGTGCTTTCTTCTCATGCCATGAAGGGCATAGCTTAGCCTGTTGGCCAGTTCTGCCACTGCATTCACAGAAGAAAGGGCACAGAGCGGGCCCTGCCATGCTCTGCCGCAGAACGCAATGATGGGCCCATGGCACCCTGTGGGCCTAACCTGTCTGCCACGTTTCATACACACGCGTGTGCACATGCACCACACACACTCACACACGGTCAGAGCCAGTTTAGGAGCCAAAAAAGACACCACTCTCCTAACTTCATACTCACGTCTTTGTCTTCACTTCACAGTCCTTCACAGACCCAGGACTATGCAGCCTGACCACCCCACCCACCCACCCGGGAAAACGGGGATTCGCCACCCCGGAGGGGACTGGAAAGAATGTGTTCCCGGTTCTGAAGGCAGTTCCCAAACCGGAGCAACGGCAGCGAGCCCGCCAGGAGCGTTGAGGCTGCGGTGCTCGTGAGGGTGTCCTGAGGTGGGGGCTCCACGCCAGGCGGGTGACAGTGTGCTGCCCCCTTCCACAGCCTCACCCCACTCTTCCCCCGCCCGTACACCCATGGCCTTGACTGGTCCCTAGCTGCTTCATACGCAGGCAGGGACCTCCCCAAGCAGAACAGACACCGGAGGTTACAAACTGCTTATTTATTCTGCACCCCCAGGATGCCCACTACAGTGTGGGTGGCCAGAGTCCACTGATGGACGTGGGCGGCTTCCCCGACTACAGTGTTCACGGGATAGACAGCCCCCAGTAGTCAAGGGAGAAACCACGAGGCCACACGAGGCTTTATCCTCCAAGCCCCCGTTTCTGAAGCCTTTTCTGAAGCAATGCATTTGGGGAGTTCAGAGCACTGGGGGTGTTTATTGAGGGCAGGTTTCGTGTACCAAGAGGGTGCCGGGCCTTTATTCAACATTGGCAGGTGTCACTGCTGGTGGTCCTTTTATTGCCATTATTTGGTGGGCCAGACTGCAACAACCACAATCGCCACGAGCAGCAATACAATCACCATTATCATCCCTGAAAAACAGCAGCAGAAAAGTCTCTCTTTAACGATTCCTACCTGAAAATGCTCACATACCCTGTTAAGGGTCTGTCCACAATCTCTGAAGACAATCTTCTGGTGGGGGCGGGGCGGGGGCGGGGGGGTGGTAAGAAGGGGACAGGGGTCAGCAGCTGCCTCTCAACGCTGGATTTTCAGGCTGCTGGAGAAGGGAGGGGTTCCAGGGAAACCAGAAATAGACCAGGCCCCTCAAGAGTAGCACCAGCAAAGTGCCGGCACTCCACACTGCTAGACCGGGGGGATCCGAGGGAGTGGGAGCTGCTGCAAGTGCATCCCCACCCCCATTAGCTAGTTTTGCATTGAAGAAGCATTGACAGAGTGGAGGACTTTGGAGTTTACCAAACAAAGCCTGGATTCTAGAATCCACTTTCTCTGCTACCCATATGGCTGTACTTTCTCTTCTCCACCCCAAGGTTCCACTGGTCTATAAAAATATGCCCCAATTACAGGAAATTTTTCTTCATGTTTTTTTTTTTGCATTGGTATTTTCTGCTTTATTTCCTAAAATGTTTGGCTGGAAAACACTCAGGCGAGCATCAGTCCTTCCAATCAGCCTGCTCTCTGAGCCCTCCACCACCTCCACCTCCTCAGGGTGACGTTGATGAGTCAGGCCTGAGAGAACACACTCCCTCACTCAGTTGGTGCCCCATCTCCCACATTCACTCAACTGGTATTTAATGAGAGAATCCCATGTGTCATGGCAAGCACTGGTGGCTTAATGGTGGAATCACCGCCTTCCACGTGGGAACCTGGGCTCTGTCCTTGAGTCTCAGGCATAACCACCACCCGTCTGTCAGTGGAGGGCCGCTGTGACGCTGATGAGGCTTCAGCAGAGCCGCCAGGTGAAGCTGGACTAAGAGAGGCCTGGTGATCTGTTCCTCAAAGTCAGTCAGTGACATCCCTATGGATCACAACGGTCCAGTCCCACTGTGCATGGGGTCTACCGGACGGCAGCTAACAGCAACAACAACTACCAAATGCTGGGCACAAGATGCTGGTGCAGCTGTAGCCTAAGAGCGAGAGAGCACACTGCTACAAAGGGAGCACTCGTGGAAGTCTGCACGCTGAAGAATCCCTGGGCCACAGACAGCCCAAGATGGAAGTGCGGAGCAGAAGAGATAAAGGACATGGAAATGCTTCCTAAGGTGACAGGGTCACAAATCCAAATGCAAATGACCCAAATGCACAGGGTCACACTGTTTAGCCACCAGGTCTGCTTGTCTCGGCCTAAGGAGTTGTTTTAGGAAAGGGTCAGGATCTGAACAGTCCAACGACTTATTCTCTTCCAGGAGGCTGTGGGTTGCCTGTCAGGCACTACGTAGTAGCTCCCCCATCCCACGCTGTCATCAGGGCTGAGAAGCCGGCGTGTAGCTCCGGGGAGGCCCACAGTCAGGGGAGCTTCCTCCCCCAGAGGCCCTCACCAGCGTTCCCTGAAGGCACCATGAGGACAGTAGTGTGAGGAGGAAATCAGTCTCCTGACTGCCTGCTCAGACCACACACTCATCTCCTGACAAAGTGTGTTCCTCTTCGTGACACTGGGAGAGAAAGGAGGATGCCGTGGCCCAGGCTGAGTGGTGGTGCCAGCACCATGGAGAGGATGTGGGCACACGCACAGGCCCTGCTCTCGCCGCAGGCTTCCTGCCCCTCCTGCAGGCCGTGAGCTAACCCGCTCCCTGGCAGTACGCTGTGGGTAGATGTTGCCTCTTGTTGTGATACTCAGTCCTAGGAAAGTCTTTTCCGCCCCCAAATCTACATGTCTGCCCATCCCCCAAAACCTTGTTCCCAGAGACCCTTGCTTCCTTCTGCCTAGTCAAGTCCTACCTACTTCTCAGGCCCAGTCAGAGCGGCATCCTTTCCTCTCCAGGAATCCTGGCTCCCTCCCTGAGCTCCAACCACATGTTCAGTTGTTCTGTTCACTTGGCCATTGTTGTTGACCATCTTGGACTGAGAGGTCTTGTATGCATTTAAACGTTTAATCAGGAACTAGAAAATAAAACATTCACTACTCATTTAGCCATAGACTGGAACTTGACTGGCACACCAACCTCCCCCTCAGCGAATGGCAGCCTCACTTACCATCCTTGGCTCTTTCCTTCTCTTGTGCCCACATCCAATCTGTCAGCCTGTGTCACAGGCTCAGAGAAGCTGGTTCCAGTTCCACAGAAACACCTAAGACACCTCCTCTACCTCTTTCTGCTTAATAGTTTCTCCTTAGGACATACTACTCACATGCTAAATATTTTTATTAATTCATTTTACTAGCTACAGCTAGATTCTAGAGAGATAATGGGCACATGTGGCTATTTAAATTTATTTAATTCAAATTAAATTACATTAAGAACTCAGCTTCTCAGTTGTAGTGACCATATTCAAGTACTCAACAGCCACATATGGCTAAAGGTTGCCATATTGGACAGAGACACAGAAAACACTTCCATCTCTGCAGAAAGTTCTGCTGGACAGGGTCTTGACTGTTATTTATTGCTGTATCCCAGCGCCTACAATAATGCCTGGCACACAGTGGAGACTCCACATATTCTGCTGAAGGAATGAATGGCTGCCTCGCCATGTCTTCTAAATACACATTCTACACTCGGGTAGTTGTTCGTAGTTCTGCGTTCCCTTCTTCTTGAGTTGGTTTTGTGAAATTATATTTTTTCTAGGAAACTTCCCATTTTCCCCCTGAATTTTCACAATCATTAGCATAAAACTGCCCATTATATTCTAATTGAATACTATGTCCTGCTTTTCATTTCTAACATGTTATTTATGCATTCGCTTTTCCTGACTACTCGTTTGCCATAAGTGTCTATTCTTATCAACCTTTCTCCAGGACAAAGTTTGACTTTGTTGATCATCTCTTATTTATTTATTTTCTATTTCATTCATTTCTGCTTTTATTTTTATTAGTTCTACTCATACATTTTCTTTAGGTTTACTTTATTGTTCTTTCTCGAACTTTTGAATTGAAACATAACTCATTCATTTTCCATCTTTCTCCTAAATATTACCTTCTAACCCTGTGAGTTTTGATATAGAATATTATCAATGCTGTTAATTTCTAAATGCTAAATATTTTTAAATTTCCAATGATGATTTCTTCTTTGGCCTAACTATTTAGAAATGTGTTTTAAAATTTCAAATGCATTAAAACATGCTTATCAAAATATATTTTAGATTCTGAAATAATAATACATGTCCTATATTTTGATATAAAAACATTTATGACTTCCATTAGTGATAAAATCATAAGCACTATTGATACTAAGGAGCTCTGGTGGTGTAGTGGGTAAGACATTTGGCTGCTAACTAGGTCAGAGGTTCTAACCCACCAGTTGCTCCACAGGAGGAAGATGAGGTAATCTACTTCCATATAGATTTATAGTCTTGGAAACCCAATAGGGGCTGCTTTGAGTCGAATTCAACTCAATGGCAGTGGGTTGGGTTTTCTTTTTCTTTTCTTTTTTTTTTTTTTTTTTTGGTTTACTGATACTACTGTGGTTTTTGCCTATATTTGTAATTAAAGAAAATGCTAACTCTCAATTAAAGGTTAACCCCCCACAAAGAAAAAAAAAAAAAGTTGCTATTGAGTCAATATCAACTAGAGGACAGAGTAGAACTGCCCCATTGGGTTTCCAAGACAGTAATTTGTATGGAGGCAGAAGCCCTATCTTTATCCCACAGAGTGGCTGGTGGGTTTGAACCACCAACCTTTCAGTTAGCAGTTGACCACTTAACCACTGTGCCACCAGTGCTCCTTAATTAAAGATTAGTGAAAATAAAAATGTAATTTCTTTCCCATCCAAGTTCACAGGCTCCCTGAATTCTATCCACTGATCCCTAGAGCTCATGGAGGTCTGGTGGTGTGAACGTCAAACCTCGACCCACGTGAACACAGCCCCATGGTTGTGAATGCTGGGAAAGGACATAAGAGCATATGTTGACTTACTTATCATATCATTGCCCTGTGATGGTGGGTGAATTGTTTTCTAATACACCCTCTTTCTCTGAGGATACAACCTTGGAGAGTCCCCTCTCTCAGGGCCCTAACTAAGGGTTTTTCTCCTGGGTTCCTGAGGAAAAAAAACCAAGCCTCGACATTGTCATTGCCGTTGTTAGGTCCTGTCGAGTCAGCTCTGACTCATAGTGGCCCCATGCACAACAGAACGAAACACTGCCCGGTCCTGTGCCAGCCTCACGATCCTCGATACACCTGAGCCCACTGTTGTACCACTGTGTCAGTCCATCTCGTTGAGGGCCTTCCCCTTCTTCGCTGACCCTCCACTTTACCAGGCATGACATCCTTCTCCAAGGAATGGTACCCTCTGACAACACGACCAAAGTAGGTAAGACGAAGTCTGGCCGTTCCCGCCTCCAAGGAGCATTCTGGCTGCACTTCCTCCAGGGCATATTTGCTAGTTTTTCTGGCAGTTCACGGTGCTTTCAGCATTCTTCACCAACACCATAACTCAAAAGCATCAACTCTTCTTTGGTCTTCCTTACTCATTGTCCAGCTCTCACATGCATATGAAGCAAATGAAAATACCATGGCTTGGGTCAGGTGCACCTTAGTACATTAGGGATCAGCAAACTATGGCCCATGAGCCATATCAAGCTGGTGGTCCATTTTTGTACAGCTTATGAGCTAAGGATGGTTTTCACATTTGTATACTGTTGTTAATAAATACATAAATAAACAAACAAAGACTACGTGACAGACACCACAGATGGCCTCCAAAATCAAAACCATTACTATCTGGCCCTTCACAGAACAAGTGTGCCGACCCCTGCACATGTCATTACGAGTGACAATGGTCCAGTTGCAGCATCCACTCACTCCCTGCTGGTTTCCTGTTCTCTTTCCATTTCTTTCACTGGGGGATTTCTCCTCCTTCCTTGCAAACTCAGCTATGCATTGACAACTGCGGGGATGCAATGTTTTATCCAGTATTTCAAG